TGTTTAAGTGTTTTCTCATGTCAATGGAGTGGGGGTAGATGGGTGCTGCTGGTTCCCCGTGGGGCTCACCTCCTTAGTGCTGGGGGTGGTGGTATGGCGGTCCGGAAGTTTCACCTCCTCTGTGCTGGGGGCCGCTCTGCTCCTTGGCCTGTGCCACTTTCATCACATCTAATTCAGAATCCTAAGGAGTTTCATTTGCTTTCTAATATATCTTATTGTGTAATGTAGCCCAAGCATATGTGTGCATTGCTTTGCTCAATTATAAGGCATTGCTTTGTCTTCTTGGTGTGTAACAGACATTTTATTTCAGTGGGAATTTCTAGGAGATACTTTGATGCAGGGCCTGGAGGCCCTGGGGATCCTCCTGCAGTTCTTCATAGCACTTCTCAAGGAACTTTTATGGAGCCCAGTGGTGCATATTAGTTTTGCTCTTTATAATGGGAAAATTATATTAAATAATTAAAAATAATTGCAAGAGATCAACCTCTAGAATTTATCTCAATAATATTTGATGTCTTAAGGATTATATATCTACCTTGCATACTGTTCTTAGAAAAACATGCTTTTAAATTCTCAAAGCTCAGCAGGGTGTGTGGTAAGGTACTATGTCAACACCCTGGACTATTATTTTTTGTTCCCTGTTTACATTTATCTCTCCATGAATCTTGCAACCCAGTGGGTAGTTCTTTAAATCAATAAACACAAACACTTTCCCACACACTCAAGCACACACACACACACACACACACACACACAGAAGGGCCTCTTTATCCACTAGTATGGGCTAAAATGCCTACTCTCTTGTTCCCTTTCCAATAGATACCCTTTGTTTCATACATCATGGAAATTCATTTCAGAGTTTATCAGAGTGAAGAAAAGTGGAGAAATTTTAGTGTAATCATGGGGAGTGATGTCTGCAGTACCATCTTAATGCTTTACTTACATACAACATTTAAAATTATTACTTATATCACATATATCCTGGCCTGTTGGTAGCAAGAAGTCAGGAGGATGGAGCACACCTTGGCACCTCCAAGTCAGGATCAGATAGGGGAGACCCTGTGAGCAGAGGCAGCATTCAGACTCTGATTTCGCTGCCTTCTTTCCCTGCTGTATGCTCTTCCTGACCAGCACAGTTCTTGTCAATCTGCATTTTCGGGGTTTTTTTGGTACCGAGGATTGAAATAGGGACTTTGCACTTGCGAGGCAGGCAGCAGGACCACTGAGCTAAATCCCTGGCCCCTGCATGTTGTTTTTGTCTCTATTTATCACTGATTTCTGATAAACATTTTCATAGTCACATTGCCCTGTAAAGCAATGAGGAATCCCTTCAGCCTCAAATGCTTTTACTTATACTTCTCCCATCTAATCCCATCCTAACAGTTGAACTCAACAGAACTAAATCAAATTGATCTGAAGACATTGCTGTCAGCTAGTTGTGCCAGCTTTTCCTCTCTTTCTCCTGCTGCATTCTTCGGGTCCACATAGAACAGAAGCTTGCTTTGTTTTGTCTACTTTTAACCCATTGCTTAAACTTTGTGTTTCCTTTGAAATAGTGACTTCCCTGTCTTTTGGGAAAGGAGGAAAAAGGAAGGACATTGTGAGGTACTGAAGAAGAAAGAAGTAGTTAAGGGGGGAGAACAAGCAGCCTTTTCTCTGGCCAATTTCAGGCATCCCCTACTGATCCTGTTGCAGGCCCTAAGAGAGCTGCTGCTGAGTGGCACTGTGATCCAGTCACCTCACCTGTAGGAATCTCAGGAATGGATGTCCTTTATGTAGCTGAAGACTTACAGACCAAAGCTGAGGAGGGGATGTTGGTTGGAGATAATCCAGCAAGTGTTGGGCTGTCTCAACCTCATTGCACTTTGCACCCCTGTGCCACCATCTTCCCTTCAATGAAGCCTCAATGCTGCTGTTTAGAGCTCAGAAATGCCTGCACACAACCACTTCACCTTCCAGAATACTGAAGATTCTCTTGTGTCCTCTTGGCACACATTTCTCCAGTCAGCCTTGTCTGAGAAGACAATGTCCCACTCTGCTACGCTACAGAATTTTCCCTGACTCTAGTGGAATAACAGTGGATTAACTCAAGGAGAAACTGCTTAAGCCCATTTCTTCCTGAGCTCTCCACTGTTACTGCAGACTGTGCCGAACATCCACACATCCACAGGATGCCTTGCCCCACGTAACTTTCTGTTCTCTTGCCAGCTAAAGAGAAGTGTGTGTGTGTGTGTGTGTGTGTGTGTGTGTGTGTGTACGTGGGGAGTGCTTGTGTGGGGGAAGAGGCTATGAGTCTTGAAATGAAATTTCCGACTCTAGCAAAAAGAAAGCCATAATTCACTAAGGCATGAAATAAACAGATGACAAATGGTGACTTTTGTGAACCACAGCTGCATTAAACCGATGACCTGAGAAATCTGGTATTTTGTTATCATATAAGATGCAGCCCAATATCAACACTCTGAAGGAAAAATGTGTGAGAGGAACAACCTAGAATCTGACAAATACAGGGACAGAAGCTAAACAAGCAGCTGGTGATGAAGACGGAAATACAGAAAACACAAGGTCAATGATTCCTGGTTATGTTTCTCCTGCAAAGGCAAAGCGAACTGAGAGAAAAATTTCTAAGCACAAGGAAACCTATTCCCCTTTCCCATTAAATTAGAAAGCTGTATATTTCACAATCAACTGAATGTTAAAAGCTTCTGATTGGTGATACAGTTTAGTTTCTGAGTCATCTCTTTTATAGTCTGGTCCAGTTCAATGCAATTCAGCTTAAGCCTAAAGTATTTATTGAGCCCCTATTGTCAACCAGACTGCATTATGAAAGATGTGGGAAAGACTGTTTTTGCTTTCAGAGAGCACATTTCTTTTCTTTTTTTTTTTTTTTCTGGTACTGGGTATTGAACTCAGGTCCTTGTGCTTGCACAGCAGGTGGCAAAACCACTGAGCTAAATCCCCAGCCCCACATTTCTATTGAAGCAAGAGATAGACACATCTAATCATGAAAGGAGAGATGCATTAAAAACCCTGCAATAGACAGACAAATGTGCTATAAATTTAGAGGAGAAGAGCATGTTTGAGTGGATCCTTGAGCACTGAACAGAATTCAACTCAGTGGAATTGGAAGTGACAGTATTGGGTAAAGGTAAAAAATGACGTTGGAGAATAAAGTGATGGTTGGATAAAAGGTATGGAGAGCATAAAATTTCTTTGCATGTTTAAGATATAATGACTACTTTGATATGGCTTGTATGCTCCTATTGTAGGTTTGAATAGGATTTTGAGAGGCCTTGAATGGCATACCAATGAGTTTAACTTTCTTATTGTTTGAGAACATTATTCATTCAATGAGCATTTATTGACCACCAACCATGTTAAAGCATCATACCACAGTGATATATGCATGACCATATTTATAGCAGCACAGTTTGTAACAGCTAAATCTTGGAAGCAGGCCAAATGCCCATCAACCAATGAATGGATAAAGGGGATGTGGTTTTTTTATACAATGGAGTACTACTCTGCCATAAAAAAGAATAAAGTTGAGACATTTCTAACTAAATGGATGCACCTCGAGGCCACATGCTTATGTGAAATAAATCAGACACACATGTTTAAATAGCACATTGTTTCTTGGGTGTGAGAAACTGAAAAAGTAAATAAGAACAAAAATGTATAATAAATGTTGGGAAATGGTCAGAAAATGTTCAAATAGGAAGGGCAACAATGGAGGTCAGAGGAGGAAAGGAAGGAAGGGACAAGAAAAAAAGAATAGAAGGAAAATAATGGAACCAAAGCTTTGGTAAATAAGGAAGGGAATAGGGATTGAAAGGAGAGGAATGGGAAAAAAAGAAACAAGACATATCATATACAGGTACGGATTCCCTGTAGTGAATGTTGTTATTATGTATATCAAAATGTACCAATAGAAATATCAAAACAAGGGCCGGGGATTTAGCTCCATGGTGCTGCTACCTGCCTCCCAAGCACAAGGTCCTGAGTTCAATCCCTGGTACCAAAAAATAAAAAATAAATAAATAATATCAAAACAAGCAAATTAAAAAACCCAGAAACTAACAAAAATGAAAATATTGATTAATTTGCAAATTTTCAAGGCCATGTGTATTGCATAAGCCTGTATTTACTTCTATGGATTTGTCTTACTATGATTAGATGCAGGAATGTCTGGTAGGCATCTGTTGGGCCAGTAATTTTTATTGTAGACTGGAGACATTTTTCAAATGTAAAACTACAACAATAACAAAAACTCAATTCCATCTACATATTTTTAAAAAGTTACAAAATTCCTATCAAGAAGGGGACAAAGTATCTTAGGGTAAAAATATTGGTTTGGAATTGTTTTTAGTCTTCATAATGCATTAATTAGATCTTTTTCATGGTCCATGGATGGATCACAAAGAAATGACTCATTCATTCGACCAAAAGCAAAGTCAGATTAAACAGAGACTGTTCAGACAATATTCACAATAGTGAAAGCTATAATCAGAAAAAAATTTATGTTCCTATTTAATTTTGTATTTTCACTGAGATTAATTATGCTATGGCATGTGTTGAGGAAAACCTTATTGATAATTTATGACAGGGGCTGGAGATTTAACTCAGTGGTTCTGCCGCCTGCCTCGCAAGCACAAGGACCGGAGTTCGATACCTGGTACCCCCCCAAAAAAAACCCCCAAAAGGCTGGCAATAATTTATGACATATTTTGAACTCATTAGAAATAGAAGAATATAAATGTGGTAGACTAATCATTATAACATTTGTAAAATCCAAAATTAAAATTTCCTTTAGTGGTCTCTGAATTCCTAATTAGTGGGCCTGTGAATTAATGTAGAGAAAATGATTGAGGAGTACTGCTAGGATGGCATACAGGAGAAGACAGTACTATCTAAAGTTTCTCTAAAGCTGGAACTGTCATAGAAAAACTTCATCTGTGCTCAGTAATAATTATACTACTAATAATAAACTTTCTCATCAGAAATTTATTGGATCTTACATCTCCATGCAAAATCTTCCAGAGGATTCTTTATTCAGCTGAAATGCTCTCTTGCATGATGTGCAAATGAAGATGAAATAAAGGCTTAGAATGTGGTCAGGGAGACTGAGATGGAATAAGCAGACCAAAAAATATTGAAGCAGAATGTAATGCATGAACTGACGTACATCTGGTGAGTCTGCATGCCACTGCTCCATGCTAGAAACCATTATAAACCATTTGAGGTGATCAAAAAATTGCTGCCCAGGTGCAATAGTTTATATTTTGAAAATGAAATAAATCTAGTGGATACTGTGGACGAAGAACTTGCAAAATCTTATTAGAAAAATAAATCTGTTTTGAGTTAGAGGAGTGAAAAAATCCTAACAAATTATAGGAGTAGAAGTGTTGCAAAACTGAATACATTCATGTTTATTCAATAATCACACACATGTTCCATTAAGAAATGCAGAAAAAAGTGCAATAAATATTGACTTTCACAGCAAAATGTAGAAGTATATGTGCAAAGAATAATGAATCCTTTTCTTGACAGTTTGAGAAAATAGAAATGTTGAGCCATTTACACAGGTTGAAAAATAAGAAAGCTGTCCTCTTTATTATAAGGGAAAATATTTTGAGTTAGTGGTGTGGAGATTATTCATCTGACTCGATTTTATATGTAGAAAAACAATTTGTGTTTGGTTCTTTTTGGAATATAGAAAAACATGGGATGAGATCAAGGGGTGGGGCTCTTTTTATTTGGGAAGGGAAAGTATAGATCACTCATCATTTCTGCCACCACCACCACCACCACACCACCAGTGCTTTAGGGTTAGGGGCCTTTGTTGGAAATCATGCTATATTTTAAATACCTCATTCTACCCTTGGGAATATTTACATCCAGGAAAAATAAGATTAAATGAACCTTAAGAGCAAACTTGAGTGGAGAAAAAAAATGACAAAAGGATACTTTGGAAATTCTAATGTTCTACTGATGAGCAATATGTTGGTATTGTCTTTGGTGTGTGTGGGGTGAATTAAGAAGTGCATATCAAAGATCTTTAAAATGTTCATTGTCTTTAATCCATCAATTCCTTGAGGTCCTAAGAAAAAAATCAGAAAAACATGTACATAATGAGTTTCATGCAATGGTGTTCCTACAGTATTGTTTTTAGCAGTGAAGACTTGGAATTGACCCACATTTCAGGGGTGAAATGATTTAATAAATTAAATAATGACAACATAAACTACTGTGAAACCTTTAAAAATCATGTTGTAAACAGTATCCATTTACCTGTAAAAACTATTCATAATGTACTGTTAAATGCAAAAATCCCAAACAATATACCAGGTATGATTAAAACATATGGAGATTGTTTAAATTAAAAGAAATTTATTACAGTGAAAGATATATTGATATTAATCACCCTCCAAACACTTCCCCTTACTTTGGACATATTTATCTCATGGTTCTCTTCCCTGAGTGTCTCTATGAGATCTGATAAAAAAATACAGTGAATGCTGGGGCCAAGTTCCATCCAACAGAATGACAGGCTTGTAAAAAATAACCATTACAGTGTGTCTTCATCCACTTTATTCACCAGATCTGGCACCATGCAGCTTCTGGCTCTTCCTCAATGTCAAAATGACCATGAAAGGTAAATATTATTAATCACCTCAGGACATGTTGGCAGCCTCAACAGTGCAACCAAAGACATTCATGAAAAAGGACTTCCAGAACTGCTTCAGAAAGTAGCAAGAGCAATGGGATAAGTATGTTTAAGACAAGGGGGAGGATTTTGAGGAGAATTAATGGCAATGTGTCTTTTACTGTAATAATTTAAAAAATTTAATCATTCATCATATTTTCAATGACACATAGTGTGCAATGCATATAGCTTGGCCTCTGTTGTGTTGTGAAATATGTGTTTATAAGCAAAAAAAAAAAAAAACTGGGAGGAAATACAGTAATTCCTCAGTTCATGAATGCTTCTGTTTGTGAACAATTCAGTTTATGAACAGAAGCATTTGGCAAAATTTTGTTTCCATTTGTGAATTCTGCATACAATGATGAACAGGACCGTGGAAATCTTCCCCAGAATCATGAAATGAGTAAGTTCGTGAACTGAGGTACCACTGTACTTTAAGAACATTTAACTGCTTAATTTCAGGTGATAGAATTGTGCATAATTTAAGTGTTCCTATCTTTATACTTTTGTGTATTTTCAAACATTTCTGTGTCTCAAATCACTACTATACTCAGAAAGGAAACACCAAGTAAATGTTATTGAGGACAAATCAACCAAAAGGCGGATGTGGGAAGTGAAAGGGAAAGTTTTACCTTTGTGCTCGGGAGAAGGAAGTCTTTATTTCCCTGTATCAGTAGGGGAAATTCTCCGTGCCTTCCTGAAGTCTCCACCTGGCAGTAGAGTCAAATCTGAATGGAAGATTGGGTCAGTAGCTCCAACATGCAAAACACTGGTTGGACCTAAAAAGATACCTGTTAGTTCAACCATAAGGAGCTACACTGTGGAAGTAACCAATCTGCTGTGTGATTCCATGTGGGACAACTGAACAGCAGGCTTAACCTCTAACCCCCTGCAGTGCAGAGTTTCCACCAGCTTCCCCACTGATTTCTGAAGAGTTCCCAGGGTTATCATCAGCCTGTTCAGGCATAGCACAGTAAGAGAAATGGGCCTTGGGTTTCACAGTGCCACAAGCAAATGCAGACAGAATCACTTGTACTAGACATTATAAGATCATATAATGATTCTTGGTAAATTGCTTTGAGATCCACAGGCTAGTGTGCTATTCCATTACCAGTCTTTAATTGGTGTTTCTATTAACTCATGTAAGAACCATTGAAAGCCATTGATCCTGAACTCTAGATAGTCATCAGCAAGTGAGTCTGGAAAAGTTTAGGTGCCAAGATCTCAGAAAACTAACAGGAAAGGCAAATGTAACTGCATTAGGCTGATAAAACCAATGCAAATCAACGAAAATATATAAAAAGGAAACTTATTGAGGATACAGATTTGCTGAGAAATAATGCTATATGAGAAGAAATTGAAGTGAGTAGAAATACCCACTACAGATTTGGTTTTCCCTTCCCGAACTACCCTTATCAGAACACCCACATGATAGTTGATTTTTTGTCAAGTTGACTAATTTTTCATTTTGAAGGTATTTGACCATAATACTCCATTTAGCAGAGTGAGAATTTTAGCTTTTTAACAACAGTTATAAAAAGGAAATCTTTCAACACTTTTCTCCCTGTCTCTTTTATACTCATGGGTAGTTTGTACTGTGGTTCTCATCAGCTCTGGCCAGCTCTGTGCAATCTAAGGAGTCTCCATCTGCCTTTACTAGGAAGGTATAGTGGAATGCTCTCTGAAAACTTTCTACTGGTTTAATATGTAATTGTTGATTACTGAGATTTTTTTTCCAACAAATGCTTCTGTACTCTGTCAATTAATATGATAGCATTTGAACTAGTTGTGTAGAGATCTGGCCTATCTATCATCTATCATCTATCTATCTATCTATCTATCTATCTGTCTATCTATCTATCTACCTACCTACCTACCTACCTTTTCTATGTCTTCTGTCAGAAATAATTTCAGATGCTTTGCAAAACATAAAATAGTACAAAAATTGTTAAGGAAAATTAGATAAAGACAAAATAGTAAGAAAGGTTAAACAAAACAGGATGGTGTTATGGTTGATATCTAGATGTCTCTCCAAAGCCTCATGAGATGGTAGATGGGGCCTTTGGGATGTGATTGGATCATCAGGGCATGTATTTATCAGTGGATTAGTCCACTGATGAGTTTATGGTTAAATGTGATGTTGTGAGGTGAAATCTGATGGGAGGACATGGGTGGATGAGGGGATGTCCCGGAAAGAGATATCTCCTCTCCTCCTTTGATCAGTCTCTCTTTCTGCCACCATGCCATAAGCTGTTTATCCTATGGCATGCTGCCCTGCCTTGGAGCCAGATGACTATGGAAACTTCTACAAACTGTGAACCAAAATAAACCTCTCCTTCTTTAAGTTATTGGTGTTGAGTATTTTGTTTCAGCAACGAAGAAAGTAACTAATATAGATTTTGGTACCAGAGAAGTGGGGTTATGGTTGTGACGCTATCTGACCAAGTGGTTCAGAAGACTTTGGAACTGGCTTGTGGGAAACTTTTGGAATGGTTTAGAGATGTTGGCTGGAGAAGAAGCCCTAGAATGCTGTAAATCTAACTTGATGGGAGATTCGGGTCTCAGTTTAGAACACCAGAATGTTGACAATAATGGACCCAGAAAAAGCCTAGGCTCAAGAGGTTTCAGTTGGGAAGAAGGATTCCATTAACAATTGGACACATGTTCATGTGTCTTATGTTCTGGCAGAAAATTTGCCTGCATTTTGCTCATGTCTTGAGACTTCGTGAGAGACTGAGATTAAGGGCAGCAGATTAATTAACTTGACAGATGAAATTTCAAGACGGTTTAATACTGAGGCTGTGGGGTGGGTATTGTTGGGGGATTTTAGCCAGACCTCTGTTGAAAATCAAGAGCAAACAGCACAGGTAAATGATTTTAAAGGCTTTAAGTTTGGCCCAGAAGAAACTGGTAAAGTTGGTGTCTATAAAGTTGGGGCAGAGGCAGAGCTTGGTTGCTAAAAAGATTAGCATTAAAAAAGAAGCCCAAGTACTTTAGATCTGGATAATTCAAAATATTCCTTGAGGAGTGCTAGAAACTAGCAAGATCCTACCCTTTGAAGACTCAAAATTGCAAAGATGAGAAACTTTCCCTTGAGAAAAGAACCCTGAGGCACCATGCTCCAGAACAGTGGCAGCCTAGGGAATGGGAGTTAAATCCCTGGGATTCAGTTCTCTATGCTTAGCAGTCCAGGCACTCACTGGCAAGATTCAAAAGGTCTCAGCTACTGCTTCAGCTGGTGGCAGATCCTGGCATCCTCCACACGGTGCTGGTTTTATGAGCATACAGAATGCAAGAGTTGTGGGGCCAGGGAGACTTCTGCCCAGATTTTGGAAGGCCAGAGAAGTCAGGCAATGGCTCCTGAGAGGGCAGTGTGTGGAGCTATGGAAGTGAAGCTGTGAGAATGAAGTCAAAAGTGTAGTACAGACCCCAGGATGTTGGAAAAGCCAGGAACCTGGACCATGTGAGGAAAGGTACAAGGAATGAAAAAGGTCAGCCCAAGAAAGAAGCCATGAAGGCTACAGCCATTGCTGGCAATGCCAGAGAGACATGTCTGCCTAAGCCCTCTGGAGTTCACATCTTGCCATAGATTGTCCCAGGTGCTGGACATGGAACTGCAGGATTTAATATTTACTTTGCTGGATTTGGTCTTGCTTTAGTTCCACCTCTTTCTATCCCCCTATTTCTACCTTTTGGAACAGGAATGTTTACCCTGTGTCATTGTATGTTGCAAGCATTTAATTTTCTTTTCATTTTTATAGAATCTCACAGTTAAGAGTTTGCCTTAAATCTCAGAGGAGACTTTGAAGTTGGACTTTTCAGCAATGCTGAAACTGTTAGAACTTTGACAACTCCTAGAGCTGGACTAGATGGAGTTCGCATAGAGATGAACATGAATCTTTTAGGGGCCAGGGGTGGAATGTTATGATTTATATCTAGATGTCCCCCTGAAGACTCATGTACTCATAGGTGGGTCTTTATGGGAGGTTATTGCATCATGGGGTTGTGATACACATTAGTAAATCAGTCTACTGATAAGTCTATAGCTAAATGTGAAGGAGGTAAAGCTTGGGTAGAAGAGGTGAGTCACTGGGGGCACTTCCTGGAAGGGTATGTCTGTTTCCCTCTTCCCTTTTCCCTACTCTATTTCCTGCTGCCATGACAAGGATTGTTTCTCCTTTGTTATGCCCCTCTGCCATACTGCCTTGCCTTGGAGCCCATGGACTATGGACTGAACCCTCTCTAAACTTGGCCAAACTAAACTTTTCCTCCTTTAAGTTGTGGTTGTTGCATAGTGTAACTTAGTAATAAGGAAAGTAAATAAGACAAGTGGGTTTAAGAGAACATGAGCCCTCTGCAATTTCTCAAAATGGGGTCAAAAATTCAAGTGGCTATCTCAGAGATGGAGGGCCAGAGTCATCAAATCTTGTTCCATGAAGCCCTAGGCTTTGTTGGTAGTCAAGGGTAAGTAAAGCAGGCAACAGCGGGTAAAGTTTCTTGTTTCAGGCTCCCTCTACTCTCCTGCTCAGACAGAGGAGTTTTGAGTTTATATGGTGTGGGGCTCTGTGTAGGATTTAAGGTTAAATATGTATGTTTCACTAAAAGACATGTTCAAAAGCCATACAATCACAGTAGCACTGAGTCAAGTCAACCTACATGCTGGGAAAGGATATCCATTCTTAACATTAAGAGTGGATAGTAATAACCTCAACAACATCCTAGAAGAGAATCATGGAAGATAAAAGGTGAAGGTGTAAGTATCAAGCCATTCATACTGATTATCCCTAAGTATCAGCTGGGGATTGGTTTCAGGACCTCAGTGGATTCCAAAATCTGACGATGTTTAAGTATCTTATATAAAGTGGCATACTATTTGCATATCATGTACATACACCCTCCTGTATACTTTAAATAATCTCTAGATTCCTTATAATAGTACAATGCATGCTATCTACATAGTTGTTATATTGTTTAAGAAATATTGGGAAAATCAGTACATGTTCAAAACAGACACAAATTTTTAATTTTCTCTCCCAGATTAGTTGATTTAATGGATGTAGAGGGTCAAATGAATTTGTAATGAACTTCTAGATTAATTGCTTATAGCCTGGAGCTAGGAGGTAGATGGTATATAATGAATATAAAGTATTTTTTTTAATTTTGAGAAGAATATTCTTTAAGATTAGCCAAACATGAAAGGTTAAACAATAATACAAACATTTAGATTAAAACTATCAAGTTTAGACATGAAAATTTTATAATGGGAGAGAGAGAGAGAGAGAGAGAAAGTTTTGACAGAGTTAAAACATCTTCGCATGATGTCAGCCTGAGCTAACCTTTAAAGAATGCCCAGGGTTTGGCTCTAAGGACATGGGGAAAGCATGCAGGTATGTTGGTGTGTCAAGCACACAGCTCAATAGAGAGGAAATTCAATAAGCATTAAGAAAACGTACTAAGCATCAGTTTTTTATTGGGGAGAAAAATGAGAGAAGAGGAGAGAATTTACAACTTCTGTGTAAAGACTCAGAGGTTACTGATGTTCTGCAGAGCATGATATGGCACCTACCATTGCCAAGTATTGTGCCTACAATACCCCCATGGCATAGACAACTTGCATCTAATATTTAATTTTTGACTGGAGAAGGAAAGAGCACATGTTGGAGGTGAGTGAAGCACCAAAATGAGGGTGAGCAGTACCTTTTGAGATTAAGGCTATACTTACCAATAAGCCTTGTCCAATCATTCTGTTTTTTTTCTTTTTAATCCAGCATGATCTATTTTTTATAACATGTGTGATATTTAGAAAGACATTCTTTTGGAGGTATTGTATTGTGTGCAGTACTAAATTTGAGCCCCAGCTATGAACTATATTGGCCTGAATAAGTAACTTGGATTTTCTGAGTCTCTCTCAGTTTCCTCTTTTTAAAAATGTGAACAATAACAGGTAATCACCTACTCAGAGCCACTGTGAGGATTAAATCAGGGTTGTATTTGCGAATGCTGTCATATATTTCATATCTTTAGAATATTCCCTAGAAGATACACAAGAAACTAACAACAGTAATTGCATATGAAGAGGAGGAGTGAGAAACTTGCTTCATTCTAGAAAGGTGAGAAAATATTGGCAAGAGAGGAGAGCAAAGACTGTATCTTTTAATAAATAACCTTTGGACTTTCTTGCCCTTTGTACCAAACATGCTCGTTGTTACCTACTCAAAAATGAAGTGATGACTAATTAAGAAATAGACAATTATAGGAAGATGAAGAAAATCCATAGTTATACGTTATTATCTAAATGAAGGCTTAGTAACTATGACCCTTGGGGCAAATCTAGCATGATATTTGTTTTGTAAATAAAGTTTAATTGACACACAGCCATCCATTACATGTTGTCTGTGGTTACCTTCAGTCTAGGTACAAAGTTAGAACTGCAGAGTTGAAATGTTGCAACAGATTTGGCTTGCAGAACCAAAAAACTGTCTCACCCTTCATAGAAATGGTTTGCCAACTCCTAGTCTAGATGTTGTACAATAGTTTTTAGTTAAAGATATCTTTTTCCCATTTCAAAAAGTTATCCTTTATATGTTTTCTTTCTTTGTATTTTAGTGAAGAGGGACTCTGATACATCTTTCTACTATATATTCCAGATTTTGTTGATTTAATTTATTTTCATTTTAATCAACTTGGCAACATTAATGTAATTATTTTTGCCTTGTGGAGTTATATAATTAAAATCTCCTATTAAAATTCTATATGATTGTTATTTATTTTTTAGATATAGTTTATTATTCTGTTTATGGATAAGACATCTAGGCTGATAATCTGAAAATATTGTTTATTGTTTTGATAACTTATGACTCCTCATAGGATGTTAAGTCTATGCTAGTTTCCAAATCAGTAACTTGGGAGCAATAACACCTAGTAACACCTTCTCCAAAAGCAGTTATGAAGACATCCAGAGTAGAAATGCTTTGCCATTTAAATATTCATGATACCAAGAAAGTCATTCTTGAAATTGTCCTGGAAAAATTAGTTTTCTGCTTCTTGTTTGTTGCAAAAGTGAAAAACATGTAGTTATAGAAGTGTCCTGCAATCAATTAGGAAGAAAATATGTGCTACAAGTCAACATGCCTGTTTACATTTATGGACCACTTATGTGTAGCACAATATTTTCAGGATAGCTGACTTTTATGGCATATTGGCATTTCCAGAAATGCAGGCTTTAGCACTAAACTTTCCCTGGGCGCTATCTGCTATCCTTGACCCTTACTCCATCCTGGTCTCGTATATCACTTAGACAGCAGTATCTTCTGCCAGGTGGGAAGCCC